GTCAGAGAAATTTCAATGGCTCTCTGAGCCTCAGGCTGAAAATAAATGTCTCTTCACACTCTGATCACTGGATTCCAAGTAGACAGGCAAGGTTATTATTGGGTACATGAAATACTTTAACAATCTGCGTATGTGTGTAAGTGTATGTGAATATGTATGTGTGAGCACAGGCAAATGTGCCCTAAGAAGATCCCAAGGATAGAGGCTCGGCCTTACTTCTCTTTTTATCCTCACAGTCTTTCTTATAGTGGATACTTAGTCTACTAATCAATGTAGACACTTAGTCTTCTAATCAAGGAATCAGCAAACAAACAGATGAAAGTGGAACATACTACTGAAGTGTGTGGTGAATAAGATATAGTGCTCCATTACTCTAATATTAAAAAAATCATAAAGTAACTAAACTACATGTGAGTTTATTGGTAAAATCCATAGGCAAAAAAAAAAAAAAGAGTCTGAAATATCTGTGTTGCCTCCAGGAGTTTCTTCTAGTTTAAAAAACTAGTTAAACCAAGCCATTGTCTTTCATACATTAGGTTACAATCTTGGGATCTTGGGATGACTCTCAATCTACCTTAAATATGAATGTCATTGCTTTCCACAAGTACAATTTTTAAAATAACCATTTTTGCTAAATAGATTTTATTTTTTATCATGGTTTCCTTTCCACATTTTTGAAGCTTTCTCTTTGTTCCATATTCCTAACTCTGCAGAGATGGGAAAAACATTTAAAAATAGATTAAAATGAATTTTAAAAAATTGTTTGCAGTCATCAGCATAAATTAAAATATTTTAAAAACATTAATTCATTGAGCACTTAGCTTCAGAATGTCTACTGAAGTTAGTCTCAACTTCATCACTGACTTAGAAGAGAACATTCTAGAAACAACGGCTCAGAGAAAGGAGGAGGAGGAACAAAAAGATTGGAAGACTGTGAACAAGAAAAAAGTAGAAATGCCTGGAGCATTACTCAGCGTGCATCTGCATAGAATGGCTAGATTACATGCATGAAAACACGTTTGGCTCACTGGATCATTAAGGAGGAAACATATCTCATTCTTTGTCTGTGCCTTGGCTCTTTAAAATTCCAGCCATAAACAATATGGAAGAGGCTCTGTGTATCTTTCAGTGATTATTATCACAAATGATGACACTTTTTAAAAACTCAGATATTGCTGAGGATTTGCAAGATTTACTTGAGAAGCATAAGCAGAGGGGTAGGAGGTTTGCGATTACTCCAGATCCAGTGAGTTTAAGTTTATTAAGTTCTGTACACCATATCTACAAAAGTAGCTTGCAGCACTGTTTCTGGCCTTCTGAAGACTACAGCTGTTGCAAAGCTCCCGTGACATGTCATTGTCTTCTGTTATCATTCTTGCTCTACAGCCTGTGTCCCTTTATTAGAAACAAGCACCTCAGCTTGCCAGCTCAGCTTCAAAAGAGGCGGTGTTGCTTTAGTATCACATTTGAACCAAAGCAGGAGAGCAAAGCAAACCCTTATACATGGATGTTCTGGCTTAGATACAGGATACCAGCTCAAATAAAATGTCACTACAGATAGCACAAATTATTGTAAACAAATACTGCCTCCACGCCTGGTGTAAAACATCCACAGATAAGACTAAGACTATCAAATGCTTCTTTGGGGCATGCTTTTGTCTCCTTCATCTTTAAGCTCAGAGCTCAATCCAATTATCCACCAATTTCTGTTCTGTTTGTGATTTATGTGAACCAGGGTTGAAGGATTGTTTTTGTAAAAATATTTTTGGTAAGACAAGTTGAAATTTTTAGTTCACAAGCTAAGATACCTCAAAATAAATGTTAAATAAAATCCACAAGGTATGAATGCAAGAACTCTGGGCATACAAGGAAATTAAAATATAATTTTCCATAAGGAATTGACATTTTTCATAAGATTCTTTACATTTTCTCTCTCACCGTTTATTTTGAGAATGTCCAATTTGTGCATTTTTCATCAACTTACACTGTTAAGTGTAAAGTATTTCCCCAGAAAAAGGATTCCTGAGAGTCTCAAAATTGCCTTCTGTAGTTTCCTTCCTCACCGTAGCTAACTATAAAATTCTTACACTGTGTAACTAAAATGCTAGATTCTGTCCATAATTCATATTGATTTTTGCATAAAATGCCTATTCTGAGCTCAGAACTACATAATCAAACACAACCATCAGTTTCTGACGCTAAACAAAATTATTCCTTTGGGGGGATTTACTCACACCTTCTCTGGAGATAAAGGAGAAAATAATCATCGAACTTCCTGAAACATTACAGCTTTATATTAGATAAAATAGACACCTCTATCTAGAGTCAATTTCCATGTCAGGTAAATCAAATAGAGCTCCCCAGTAAAGTGCTAAATTTCATCTGTAAGTCAAATCTGTAACAGTTCCTGAGGCTTTTAAGCCTTCAAACACTTGGAAAAGGAGGTGGTCACGAAGGCGCTTATGAAAAGGGATATTTTTCCAGGGAATTTTTATTTAATATCAGCCAGGTGCTTTCCCCTTTGTGTTTGTCTCTCTCCCAAACAAATCAAGAGTGCCCCAGTAATCTTCAGCAGAATATCTGTTCTTGAAGGTATAATCCTAAAACCCTATCACTTCTTTCCTTTCATGTCTAAAGTTGTTTGGAGAGCAACATCAGCACCAGCTTTCCTCCTCTTTTTGGTACCTACCAAAGAGCTCAAATACTTGCTGCTGTTCCCTTTTTTTGAAAAGCTTTTTCCTCATACGTTTAATGGGGGCTCTGTCACAATATGCAGGTATCAGCTCAAATGTCTCTCTTTCGAAGACGCATCATCTGACCACCCAAACAAACGTGGCTGCACCAGTGACTTCACGCTTCATTCCTTTATTTCACTGACTTTGTAGTATTTATCCTGATCTGAATGAATCTGCCTGTTTATTTCCTTGATTACTATCTGTCCTCCCAATTCCCATGGAATAGAAATTCTATGAGAATCAAGATTTTACCTGCCCTCTGTTGTACTCTAGGGTGCAGTCAGTGCACACTGTATATTTAATGGACCAGAGACAGAGCAGATTCCACTGTGACTGAGGGAAAAATATCATATCCTTAAAGTCAGAAGTCTTTTTCTCCCTAGGGTCTTGGCTTCCTCCCCGATCAGGAATTTTTGTCTATTTTATTAGAGGAATTACCCAAATATCCTGAAAACACCTGACTTTGATTTAGTTTCTATGAAATGAATACTAGGTCCCCACCATGCATTCCATCACTTTCCTACCAAATAGATATTCCCAGATTTTCTAAGGTATTTTCCTTCCTTTCAAGAAGCACACAGTGCCTGCAAGGTTACTAAACATCAATGCAAGCATCATCACTGCTGAGGACTTCCAAATATGGCATCAAAACAGCCACGGAGACTTGTCTAAATAATATCATATCTCCCAGCAGCTGGATTTTAGTTTGTTAACTTTAAAATGCAAGGCAGGCTTAAAGATTAACAATTTGCTTGGATAAAGGAAAGGGGAAAATATAATTAATCATTTGCCTGTCCCCCAACACTAGTTTACAAAACCATGGTGCAACTTTATTGAGCTCAAAATTGAAGGGTGGCAAGGTTAATATGTAGCTTTAGACCTCACAGTTTCATTAACAAACACATTACAGGCTGTAAAGCTGAACTGACATTAATGCTAGGCCCAAACAAAGTAAATAATTACTGGCTTGGCAAATGAGGAAGTACTTGCAGAGTTTGTTTACATTGGGTTTTTGGAAAATTCATGTTGGCAACAAGTCAAATACAGTTTGACTAGTAATTGTGACAATTGCTCACAGATGCTGCTGGAAGAACAACAAAAGAATGGAATTATGGCTTTTCTCTCCCTCTGCATTTTCCCCCTTTGTTACCTTTTTTTTTTCTTTACCATTTTGGATCAATAAAGAACTTGCAGCCACAAAGATAAGTGGGTTACATGGCAGATGGGCCTTGGAATGTTTAAAAAATCTCATGTTGCATTTTGTCTCTTGGCCCTAGATTGGAAAAGACACAGCTGCACTCAAGCTGCAGTCATAAAATCCACACTCCTTGAAAATGCCTATGGGTCCTCTCAATAGAACAGAGTTGAGATGAAACCCGCTTAGAAATTTTCCAACAGAAAAACTGGTTTGCTTTGTGTTAGTACACATTAACAAACCACTGAGTTTGTAAGACTTCAGGAGATAATTCTGGCCGATTAGGATCCATTTCATTTTCCCTAGTTGGATTGGAAAGTATAAACAGGAATCAAGGAAAAAGGCAACTCACCAAACTGGAAAATAGTTCTGTAGGGCAACTGATGTCTGTTACATATAATTTGAAAGAATTTTGGTTTCCATCATCAAAGATCAGTATTTTACCAACTAAAAGCTGATACTTCACACAGACACACACATACACACCATAGTCCTTCTAAACACCCTTGGAAGATAAAATTTCAATGATTTTGAGTATAAATGCAAAACCTGAATCTCTTTAATGCCATTTCTACTAACTTTGAGTGATAAGAGCCAGAATATCCTGAGACTATAGTGCTTCACTGAATTACATAGCATGAGAATCTGAAGCCTTATTATTAAGTGCCTTATCTAGATCCATAATATTTGTAATAGCAAAGCCATATCCATTGTCTGTGTCAGACGATTGTTCTATCATTCTCTAAATCATATTTCTCTTAACACTCCTTTGAATGATCACTGCACAAAACTGAATAAAAGTAGATCATTATCCACAACAGAAAGGAATCTATACCAAAAATAGGCCCTCTTTTAACCACTTGAATACTGTGTTCATGTTATCAGCAAAATACTTGATACACATATCCAGGTTTTCAGCTTTTTCTTATGTGTAACATTAAAACCCCAACTATTCCTTAGGAGAGACATTTACTCTGAAACTTACCAGATTTTAGGTGAAATGCCAATATATATACATATAATAATTTAAACTCTAAAATATCCTAACTTTTGACTTTCTCATTGCCTAGACTTCTGTGACCAGGAAATTTGGAAGCCAACCATCGGACATCAGGAAAGGATGGATGGAAGCAATATTAATCAGAATTAGCTTTGGAATCTCTGACTCATGTCTGGAATATCATCAGCCATTAGCACCAGACAAAATGTAGCCACTGAAAAATCTTCTGGGATGCAAGTAAGTACACTTGACCTAAAAATTACCAGTAAAACTTTCTGGCATGTGCTTTGATTCTAGATTATCAACGGCAAGAATTCAGGAAAACATTCTACTAAATAAGGTGTCCTATGTAACTGAGATAATTATAATAGCCTCCTCACTAGCTTATATGCCCCCAAATTTGGACTTTTCAGATCTTTCTTCCACACTGCGGTCAGACACAAATTTGATCATGTCACACCTTTGTTCAGAATTCTTTGGATGCAACTAACTGTCTATAGGATAAAGACCAAACACTCATGCATATCCTTAACTGCTGACACAATCCTACCCCAACTCTGCCTCATGATTCTCCCACTGTACGCTCCCTTCAGATCTAATTGGCTTTTATTCAATAATCCCTGCACTTGACTAAGTGAAGGTTCTGAAGCAGGAGAGAGACTGGTTTTCTAGACTTTTATCTTGAATCTCTTTTATCATTGACTATCTTTTGCTGCCACAAAGAATCATATTTTATTGCACAAGATGTAGTAGGCCTCATTTAAGATTTTTAATATTATTCCAACAAAAATCCTAAAATTTTAAGTTTGTACTTACCTCATAAAGCCAGATCTTGCATTTTAAAATCACTTTTAGAAATATTGCTTAAAAAAACAAAAATGAGTACTTTTGATGAATTTGGAAATTCTGTGACTTAATCTTATCTGTTATCTGAGTAAGAGTTTAAGCAATAATGACACTAGAAAATAAAACTTGATGTTTATGTATAAAACAATGATAGTATTATAGAATGTCACCAGTCTTTCAGGGTAACATTTGTTGAGTTACAGAACTGACTCATTGATTGCACTAAAGTTACACTGTTGAATAACTTGCATGTAGGGAAACCAGAATTATAACCACAGGCAAAAATGGATATATCAGAGGTGAATTTTGGAAGACGTAAAAAAGTAGAAGGCAATTATAAGGGGAGCACTTTAAATTAGGTGTTAAATTATTAAATTATGAATGGTTTATACTATTGATTAAAGCATTTTAAAAATCAATAAAAGAACTGTTTGCACTAAGTAGCTTTTGGGAACTTTCAGGGAAGACCATTTGATTAAATTCAAAAGTGAGAAGCCTCTGCCCTAATAGGTAAAAAGGGTAGTTCCATCTTCTTTTCAGAAATAAACCAAATAACTACAAATTAGAGTCTAAAACCAAGCATTAATGATCTGCTGCAGTCATTTTTAAAGAAGCAAGTTATGTTAAAAAATGGAATACCTAAATTAATGTGAAATTTATAATCTTTATATTTTACTACATGTCTGTTACCTTCTAATAACCACTCATACCTAATTTACATGCTCCTCTTATAACTGTTTTCTTTCTTTCTTTCTTTTTTTTTTTTTTTTTTGCTTCTTCCAAAATTCATCCCCAATGTATCCATTTTTACCTGTGGTTGTAATTTTGATGCCCCTCCATGCAAGCTATTGAACAGTATAACTTTTATTATCATTTTTAAAATGTTTTTTGGGTACATGTTAGGTGTTTATGTTTGTGAAGTACATGATATGTTTTGATACAGCATGCCATGTAAAATAAGCACATCACAGAGAATGGGGTATCTATCCCTCAACCATTTATCAATGGTACAACTGTAGTGCAATTATACACTTCTTAGGAGAAGGATCTCTTGTTATATAAATTACAAAACTTAACATTATATCCTTGTACAGGGTAGGCTAACAATGCATACTTTGAGTTGTACTACATTCATTCAGAAGCCTTTTAAATCTCAGTCTTTCTGACTCTCTGTTCTGCATTTCTCCCCTTTCAACTAAAGAATATGTTTTACAGGTGAGCTACACATCGTTGTGTGAATGCGTCTGTCAGTCTTATTCCTAGGAATCCATTTGTGATAGCTCTGCCACACCATTTGACAATAAGTGACTCAAGTTTAACAACATTAACTGCTTTCTTTTCCATCTCTCCGAAAGTATATTTAAAACACACTTTCATGACTGGTACATTTACTTATACAGGTCACCACTAGGCCTAGCCTTGAAAGAAGTAGATACTGATGGGTTCATAAAAAAGGAGCATCATGAGAAGTGGTGACCAAAGCCCTCTGCTCAAAAGCTATCCTAAAAACTAGGGTTGACATCGTTGTGAAGAATATTGAAATGGAACCTTTCCTGTTACAAAATTTTCGCTGAAATTCCAGAGCCAAGAACTCTCAGTACCTTCACATTCTAAAATGAGTTTCAGGATCTTTGCAGACATTCACAGAAGGAGACCCCAAATTGCCTTGTTGACTCCTAAGTATCACCCACCCTAGGAAAAACCTACTCTGCCAGAGTTTGGTACAGCAGGACAATGAGTGGTTCCCTTTGAAAGTGTGACCTCAAAGATGGCTTTGGTTCTCCTGGACTCCACATGAAAGAAACAGCCACAGGACAATGTGAATCCAACAAATAACATCTGTGGAAGTGGACTTCCAGAAATCAGGCATCAAGTTATAAGCAGCTGGTCAAAAGAGGCAGCACCTATGTTGGAAAAAGTCAGTGAGAAGTCTCAGGAAATGTGTAATAATGTGTGCATGTGAATCTCCAAAAACTTTCCTAATGATTCATGGAAGAAGGCAAGAATTCGAATATTCAGTGAAACCCAAAGGTCACTTCTGTCTCATAAATCTCTTCAACCTGTTTCCAACCTTGGAGAAGCCAGTGGCTCAGGATGTTGGGGAAAAAAGTGTGGAAAAGTGAGTGGGGACATTGGCAAAAGTTTTTCCTGAGATAGAGAAGCAGAGATATCAGAAATGTTCATTTGAGTGAAAGTTTGGGTGTGGAATATTAAACAGAACTACCCTTTCTATTAACTAAAATATGTGACTATTTATTCATACCTGAGAGTGACTGGAAAAGCTAGAGGACCTGTAATAGATGACTCATGGGTAGGAAAAAATGAACAAACAGCTCCAAATGATATAGAAAAAATAAACTACTTTGGGAATTTCATCTCTAATAGACCAGTCTGTTCCATAAATTTGTCGTATTTATTTCTTAGCCTTGTCTAATGCTTAGAGGCACTGTTTTTTTTTAAAGTTATATTTGCTGAGCCATAATATCTGAAAAATCAGATCTACTTCAGTTGTAAAACAAAACAAAACAAAACAACAACAACAACAAAAAAAAAATAACTCAAACTAGATTTAAAAATAAATGAATGTCTTGGTCCACATAACTGAAATGGCTTCATGCACAACTGAATACAGTGGCTAACGTATACTGTTAGGATTTTTTTGCTCTGTTTCCCATCCCTGTTGATTCTCTTTTTGCCTCCTACAGATGCTTTCCTCTTTGTGATTTGGCATCTGTTATTCTTCAGCAACAGATATAAAATATTAGAGAACTTTCTTGGGTCATGTGTCTATCACTAACGCAATCACTAGAAACAAGAGAATGGGGTCTCTCATTGGCCACCTGGTCCTGTGCCCACCTCTATGATGATGGTGGTACCGGTGGTACCATGACTGATGTTCCCACCAAGCCCACATGGAGTTGTGGATAATTGGATTGCTGGAACCCAAAAGAAAAGTGCATTGCTGTAACCAGAGAGGAAGGTAGGCAAAAGCAGCAGATATTCCCTATAATTACCTAGGCTTATTGTATATTGGAGTGCATAGCTGGACAGCTGGGAATCTGGGTTTAAGCCTGGATTTCTGCCTTCAATGAGTAAAAATATCTGGGTAGAAAACAGAAGATTGCAGCAAAATTTCCTAGATTATGTTCTATGATGTTTTAAGAATAGATTCATAATTTCTTTTACAGTCTTCCCAAAGAGAGGAGCATTACTCTGTCCTCTTGAGTGTGGGCTAAGCCTCCTGACTCACTTTCAATAAACAGAATGTTGTCAGCATGATAACATGTGACTTCTGAGGCTACGTCATTAAAAAAGGATAGCTTCTGCGTGTCTCTCTCTCATGTCACTTGCTTGGAGAAAAGCCAGTTATCATGTCATGAGGACTCAAGCATCTTGTGAGCAGATCCACATGTAAATCCTTCTAAAAAAACTTGAAATATTTTGCCAAAAGTCAGCACCAACTTGCCAATTACCTTGGAAGTCACCTTGGAAGCTGCTCCTGCTCCAAAATTTCAGATGACGACAGTCCTGGTGAACATCATGGCTGAACCTTATAAGAGAGCCCATGCTAAAATTACCCAGTAAAACTGCTTCCAAATTCTTGACCTACGGAAACTGTAAGAATAGTAAATACTGATTGTCATTATAAATCACTACATTTTAGGGTCATCTGTTGTGCAGTAATAGTTAAATAACACATGGGTATCCCCCAAGATGATAACAGATGCTCTATGAAACAAGTCAAATAATTTGGTTAAGAATGTTTTAGCAGCTTTCTTTATCATGAGACTTCTCAGAACCTGGTAAGCTAATATAACTGTCAGTTTCCAGAGAAAGGGAGAGAGAGAGAGAGAGGTAATATGCAACTTCTTAACTTCTTTTATAATAAAATATCTTTATTTTTCATGGAACACATTAATATCTCTGGAATTTTCGTGTTTCTAGGACATTTGAAAAACTCTAGACTAGATGCATGCATTGAAGAAGATTACAAATAGTTTTTTCATTCTTAAAGAGCAACATCATATATGAGGCAAAATCTGAATAACAGATTAACAGGGCCAGGATGAGGGAGACACAAGTGAGATACTCATCTCAGTAGCCATGTTTAAAGAAATGACAAAAAGCTCAGTATCAAAAATATTGTAAAGCAATATTTTTTTAAATCAAAGTTTATGCATGAAAATCCATGGTGAATAAAATATCCAAATTTTAAATAAAGGCAAATTTAAAATCAGTCAAATAATGTTATTGTCTGTCTTATGATCCCGCATTACTAGTCAATGAAAACAGTTATTTCCAATCAGTCCCGATTCCTGGTCCACATCATGATCACATTCCCCTCCAGTAAGATTTATGAGAGCAAATTTAACAATAGTGTGCAAAGATTG